CCCCCAGTGTTCTGTAAAATACCCCCAGCAATATTTTATTTGGAATAGTTGCCCTTTTTAGTATTTATTAGCCGGTCACATGACTATCTGGATTCTGTTTCTCTCCCTGGTCTTCTCCCGGCAGTGGACTGTGCTGGATGATGCAGAGCGTGGCGCTGACCTGATGATATCATTAATACACTGTGAGGGGTATTTATCAAAACTGGAGCAGACAGAAACTAGAGCAGTTCCCCACGGCAACCAATCAGCTTCCGTCTTCCATTTTCAAATCATAACTGAACAAACCGAAGAGAGAGAGAAGCTGATTGGTTGCCATGGGCGACTGCTCAAGATTTTGCCTGCTCCAGTCTTGATAAATTCCCTCGCACCTTCGCATCCCGTGAACGCGCATCAAGCGCGTGCAAAACTCGCATTGTTACTTGTCCATGGCACCCCAAACGCGGCAGGAAAATCGTGCGTTTTTCCCCTGTGCATTGACATGTATTAAGTACACACAAGCACACGGTGAAACAAAAACAACAGGTATACCTTTAGCAGAATCTGCTGCATGAGCTACTTTCTTGTGTCTGTCATGCGTGCAGTACCCACTGGAATCAAGGGGCCACATGCAGCAAACGACGGGGGGGAAAAAAATCACGCGCGAACGCACATGAAAGTGATGAAGATGTGTAGGTGTAAATGGGAGCTGAGTGAAGGTGAAGGCTGCACCTTGCGCAGTGGCTGAGCCCATGACACCCAGAACCCACAATTTACTCTTAGTCCTCTGGGTGTCATTCAACCCTTTCGGTGGTTTCTGAGGACATCTTGTGGTAAAGAAGAGGGGACAGCTCTGGACTGATGGTGTGTTTTGCAGCCACAGGAACATGGTATGTGGGGAGTGAGGGGAAAATGTATGATATAGTAAGGGGTTGTCCTGCGGGGTCATGGTGGCAGAGCTGACCCATAAGTATGCTGACATGCCGGTGTTCTGTCTAAAGTTCCAATTCGTCCAGCTCTCCCACGACCTGACTTCCGGTTTAGTTAGAAGAGGTTCTGCCGAGCGGGCTGTACTGCACATACGCCACCCACGGCATTTCCCTATACACATAGTACACAGCAGTAAAGTATCAAAATTAACTAGGGTCAGACTAATCCAGCACTTTATTAATCTGAGTTGCCCCACGCAAGCGGCGGCCATATTGAGCGGGGCAACTCAGATTAATAACGTGCTGGATTAGTCTAACCCTAGTTCATTTTACTACTTTATTGCTGTGTAGTATTTGTATAGGGAAATGCCGCGGGTGGCGCACTTGCAGTACAGCCTTCTCGGCCAAACCTCTTACTTCTAACTAAACCGGAAATCAGGTGGTTGGAGATCTCAATGAGTTGTAACTTTCGATAGAACACCAGCCCCTCCCACCAGCTATGATCTGCCTGCATTGTATAGAGAAGCACAGACACCCAGTGATGATGTCACCAAACCAAAATAAACCATGTAATGAAGTGGAAAGTTTTTATTAATTAGCATGTTAAAAGGAGGAGGAGGAGGGCATGGATGGCAAAATAAAAGCAGATGACACTTCAGCTTTAAAGCCCACCTCCAGCTAATGCATTTCTAATTTGCTTTTCAACAAAATAGAAAAGGGCTACATATCTTCCAATGGGGGGCACAGAAAGCAGTATAGGGCTGACAGAGGCTCTGAACCTTCCCCTTCCCAAAACAACAAGGTTTGGGTTTTGAATTGCCCTCTAATGTGCCTTGTGGGCTTTCCTGTGTGAGCCGCAGTGTACGTCACGTGACCCCAGGAACGCAGTGTGCGCGCTCGTTGTTTCCGGGGAGGAATGTCAGAGGCGGCGCACACTGAAGATGGAGGCGCGGCAGGAGGAAGCGGTGCGAGAGTTTGTGCTGGTTACCGACTCGGAGGAGGAGAGGGCCCGGTTCTTTTTGGAGTCCGCCGGCTGGGACCTACAGGTACCGGGGTAGAGCGGCTGGGGGGATCGTCGGCGAGACAAGGCGGAAGTCGGAGAGGAGAACCGCTTTGTCATCCCGGCAGTTCTACACTAAAATTCTTCCCCGGTCTTATGTATATCTTTCAGCTTCTTCATATTGCTTCCCCGTCCTCTATATACCGTCCTCCCTCCCTATATACATTCCCCGTCCTCTGTATACTGTTCCCACTTTATATATTCCCTGTCCTCTGTATATACCTTCCCCGTCCTCTGTATTCCTCCTCCAATCTTTTTCCCAAATTCTGTATTTTTTCTGCACAGTATATTCCTTTCCTATCCTCTGTATAACTCCCCCCAACAACAGTATTTTCCTTTCCTGTTCTCTATAATGGCTGACCCTCCCCTAGATGTATTCCTGTCCTCTGCATACAGTGCCCATGACAAATATTCCATAATCTGTATTACGCCCATATATTGCCTCTTTCTACTGCAGGTCTGGAAATTAAAGGCATTTTTTTTGTGCTGGAACCAGAGAGAGTAATTTTACTTTGGAAGCCTCTTGTACCTTACAGTATTCAATACTTCTATGTCTATACAGCAGTGTGCAAAGGGTTAAGTGAAAGTGTATGACACCTCTGATTCATCCATCTCTTCCCCACCTTTCCTGTCTACCTGCTGTCATTGCTTGCTGCCACCTGTCAGATTTGTGGATACGCCTCTTTCTGCTCTTAGATGACATGGCCCTTCTCACTGCTATTGCTTCTTCCTCTACAGGTATACAGATATTTATTTATATAGCGCCGACAATTTACGCAGCACTTTACATAGTTGTACATTCACATCAGTCCCTACCCTCGAGGAGCTTACAATCTAAGGTCCCTATCTCACATGCATACATAGAGGGCCAACTTAGAGAGGAGCCAATTAACCTACCAGCATAGGTAAAGGAAGCCCTTTATTGCCATTGTAACTCAGGCTACAGGCACCTATTGGTGTTGGAAACCTACCTGGTCCTTCGGCTAACTAATCGATTTTGAAAATAATCGTTAGCTGCAGCTCTACACTGACCCCATAGTTCTCCTTTTAAGTGTCAAACTCCCTTTAAGCTGCCCGTCAGAATAAAATATATCTTTTTAAGAATCTATACGTATATTCCATTTAGGCCAAGCCGGAATTGGAGCTGCTCTGCTGACTTGTTTCTAGAAGTCTTGGTTCCAAGCCTGTCCTCTTTACTTACTGACTTGGAACTGCATAGCGTTAATGATTTAATATAAGAAACCTCTCATGGGAAAACAGATTTAGGGCACTGCTATTGCTGTCCACCTTCAGAAACTCCTACATGCTTTGCCACCATGCTAATCCTCTGAATTCATGACTTTCTGCATCACTGACCTTGGACAAACATGTAGCTAATGAAGTCCTTAGATAGTGATTATTGGAAGATTAAAATGACATCCTGGCAATCGGGAGGTGGTCGGCTGTGACAGAGTACAAATGTCAGAAGGTTTCTTATAAACCATAGTGCAAGCATAAGAATGACACTCGCAGAGCTATAAACCCCATGATTCATATCTGTCAAGCCAGGTTATCTTTATTCTATGTGCTCTGTGATGGTTGTGTAGTTTTCCTGAGCTATGAAGGTGAACTTGCACTTGTATTATTCCTCTTGTGCAATTAGTTGGCTCTGGCAAGCTTCTATGAAGATGGAGGAGATGATGACATAGTGACCCTACCACAGCCACCGTCGGGTTCCACTTCTCGTGGCTCGGGACCCAGGTAAGGATATAATTGTTGTCTATTGTCTAGAAGGACCCAATTGCATTGGTGGCTATTAGGAGAAGGGCCCCAATTCACTGATGGGAATTGGGAGAAGGGTTTCAATAAATGAGTGGTGGTTGTTGGGAGAAGGGCCCCGTTGGAGCGGTGGTCATTGGGAGAAGGGCCCCGTTAGCGGTGCTCATTGGGAGAAGGGCCCCGTTAGCGGCGCTCATTGGGAGAAGGGCCCCGTTAGCGGCGCTCATTGGGAGAAGGGCCCCGTTAGCGGCGCTTATTGGGAGATGGGCCCCGTTAGCGGCGCTCATTGGGAGATGGGCCCCGTTAGCGGTGCTCATTGGGAGAAGGGCCCCGTTAGCGGTGCTCATTGGGAGAAGGGCCCCGTTACCCTTGTCATGATTCTCAATTTCCTGATGACCACTTGGAGAGACATTGAGGGGAATGCAAAATTTAACTGTTGTGACCAGAACAGAAGTGGAAATCCTTTAATGGGGACACCTGGTCCAGTGACAACTGTGTAAGAGGAAGTTACCCTTCACTTGCTGTCATGCCTCCAGAGCCTGAGGGGATGGGAAATCTACCTAATGAGGCACAGCAAAAAAGAAAGCCAACATTTTTGAGGTTTCAACCGATGATCACGTTCTTACACCTTTGTAGAGTCAATACAGTTTGTCATATGCTGGCAGTTACATATATGCCTGACATTTTGTTTTACATTTGATTCTGTTGCAGTGACCACAGGGTGACGTCTTTCCGAGACCTGGTGCACGCACAAGAGGAAGAGGAGGAGGAGGAAGAAGGCCAAAGGTCAGATTTCACTTTGGAAGTTTTGTTTGTTTTGGAGGGAGTTTGTTTTACGTCAACAAAAAAAAAGTTTACTTCAATACAGCTTTGTCACTTCCCCTTTTTTTTTATCCCCTTACACTCTAGACTGTCAATCAGATGGCCAGGGACCTTTCTGCTGTTGTACTTTTCTTAAAACTACATTGTGCTAAACCAGGCGTGGGTTGCATGTAGCCCTCTTGCTCCTTCCCTTCAGTAGTGTAAGGTTAAAAAAAAAATCCCCTGGCTGTTCTCTAATTGATGTTGCTTCCTTTTAGATAATTTTGCTTCTGAATACTTCAATAAATGTTTTAGGACCCCATTTTCTGCGATTAAATAGTGTAAATTGTAGGACTACAATTTTCAAAATCGATTAGTTGGCTGATTTTTATTTTTTCTATTAATCGGATACAAAAAAATTAATATCATCCTGTATTTAAAATAAAATACACAAATGGAGTGTTACAAACATAAAGTTTACTTTAGAATAAAATTGCATGCACAATTTTTTGCAATGGTACTGCGCGTTCCAGAGTGGGAGGCGCCTTTGGGGTGCCATTGAAATGAATGTGATGTAAGCACATGGCGCTTTAATAGTTTCAGCCAAGAAATGACCGCTACCAGTGGCAATATTTCGCAGACGTCAGCTGAATGTAAATGCAGCAGGTAGTGGGCTATTGCAAAGGTCAGCCTGCTATTGGCTATTTCAAATTGCAATGGCAGGCTGGCTATTGCACCAGCCCACTGCTTACTGTGCCCTCCGATTGGAAGGGACACGGAGCTGATGGAATGCTTTCTCCCAGAGCTAGGTGATCCAACCAACTAATCGATACTGAGAATACTTAACAATTCTCTTTATCGATTAGTTGTTTGCAGCCCTAGTAAATTGCTGGAATTAAGCAGTTGTGGTACTCGGGAGACATAATGCGCCCCCTTAAAGATTTGTTTCCTTAATATGGCCCATTTCATTATCTGAATCTGTGCAAAGCAGTTGAATATTTGTCGTTGAAATATTTGATGTTATGGGTTGAAAGATTTCCTCTCCACTGGGAGCACGTTGCATGCTGCAATCTGTGTCCCCTTCGATCCCCGCTGCTCTCCTCGCGTGTATCAGCAGAGGCAGTGGAGATTGGAGGGGACACAGACTGATGCAGCCCGTAACCAGCAGGGAGGAGAGGCCACTGTCAGCTCCTGTGCCCCCACCCCCCCTGTGGTCCCTCCTCTTGTGATCAACAGTAGGCAGTGGGAGCGTGTAATAGCCAGCCTGCTATTGCAGTTTGAAATGGCTAATAGCAGGCTGGCTATTGCTCCCAGCCACTGCCTGCCATGTTTACCTTCAGCTGCCTCAGCATGTCATTCCCCAGCTAAAGTTATTAAAGTAGAAAGGTGACACTAGGGGTCTAATAGACCCCTAATATCACCTTAAAGAGAACTTGACATCTCCAATGTGCTATCACATAGGGGGCTAAACTAATGTAAAAGTAGAAGCAGGGACACCGGCACTCCAGTATAAGCGTGAAGATAGTTTTATTTATTAAAGAAATACGACATATCACAAAGATGCGACGACTGTTTCGGAGTCACACAGGATCCCCTTCCTCAAGCAATGACTTGTCATTGATTGAGGAATAGACAAGGGATGGACAAGTCATTGCTTGAGGAAGGGGATCCTGTTTGACCCCGAAATGGTCGTCGCATCTTTGTGATATGTCGTATTTCTTTAATAAATAATCCTTTATCTTCACTCTTATACTGGAGTGCCGGTGTCCCAGCTTCTACTGCTATATGACGGTTGCCGTCCGTCGATCACCGCAGCACCCGTCTGATTTCCTTTGGAGACAAGTGGTCAGGAGTGCGATGGGTTCATGGATCTAAACTAATGGAAAGTCCCGCAGACATGCGTATAGTAACCGAAACACAAGTCGGGTGCACCTACGTAGAGAAACGACAATTGCGCTACACATGTCCGGTATCGCCACTTTCCCCAAATAAAACTGGAATTGAAAATTACACATGTCGTTGAAAATAAAGCTTTGTTAGTTTAAAAAAACAACAGCTTGTCTCCTAACCTTTTTAGCTGGCTTCTAGATTTGAAAAGTAGGGGTTGGCCAAGCTTCTGACACTGCCAGTAATGTCACATGCCCAAAAAAATGTTCATAGGCTGCAGTGTTTGAATGGAAATGAAAGTAGGAGACATGGGGTGCCAGAGAGGGGAGTGTTCTACTTCTATTGCTGGGACCTGCATTAGGACTAAGCTCAGCAAATGCAGCTTGCATGTTTGTATCCTGACTGGTACTCTTTAAATGCCTTGCTAGTATTTGACCCTGGTATTGTCCACAGCTAATCTGATTCTCTGTACAGGGTGTGCTGGAGAAGAATGGCCCTTTGTGCTTTTGTAGAGGGTTTTGTTACATGCTGAATTGTAGCGTGTAGGACAAAAGCAAACGGTATGATTCTGCTCCTCAGGTACCGGAGACTAGTGATAAAGGCCCATTAGTCATTGCTGATCTCTCCCAAGTGATTGTCATGTTCACTCGTCATCATCATAATGTGCATCATCACTGCATCATCATGTTGTCTTTATTTTGTGTGTTTAGCTTGTGTTCTTAAAGCTTTCTATTGACATATAATACAATCAGCATGATGGTAAGGAAATTGTCTTTGTTGAGCTTGCCAACTAGCTGGAACACAATAGAGAGCTGACTGCACTGATGGCTAGAGGTTAATAAGCACTGTACTTTTTCCATCATTCAATTAAATAGAATCCCAACCTAAAACATTTTTGGGGTGGAGTGCAGAAAGGTTAAAACTAGGGATTCACCGATTTATCGGCCGAAAATGGCACTTTTGGCATAATCCCGAAAGAGCCATTTTTCGGCCGATACATCTGCGCATCCCTGGTTTCTTTTCTCCCCGCTGGCCGATGTTCCAGCGGGGAGAAAAGAAAGTGACAGCCGGCCGAGCGCTGCAGGACGAGAGCGCTGTGAGCGGCCAGCGTCTCTCCTCCCACACCGCCCAGCCGCCTATCACAGTCCGGCAGAGTGGGGTGGGGGGCGGAGACAGCCCGCGCTGTCACAGGAGGCTGGGCTTTCCTCTCTACACCGCTCGATCAGCCTCCTGTGACAGCGTGTCAGAGAGAAAAGCAAGGTACACAAACTCAGAGATCAGTGATTGCTGAGTGTGTGTATATAATTGAGGATATGGTATGTTAACTATATCCTCAATTATGCATGAATAGAGAGATCTACATCACCCCCATTCATTCATAATTGTAGTTATAGTAAACAAACAATGTTCTCATGTTATCAATGAACAGGAACACTCATAGAGGATTCTTGTTCATTGATAACAGGGGACACAGAAAAAGAGATTGAGGACTCTGTGTTCTCAATCTCTTTTTCTATTTTAAAAGGGAAATATCGGGGGTCTGTTTAGACCCCTAATATTTCCCCGAAGCCCCTAAAAGTAAAGTAAAAAATAAAAATATTTAATAAAAAATGAATTAATAAATAAAAATAAATATAAAACAATTTAAAGTTTATAAAAAAATAAAATATTTTACAAAATTAAAAAAATAAAACATTTTCGGTTTCGGCCTGGCATTTTTTTTTTATTTCGGTGCACCTCTAGTTAAAACCCATGTCGGGATGTTACTGTAGGAGATTTGCCCTTCTAATTGTCTTGGTGACCACTGTAACCAAAGTAAGGAGGGGGATCTAAAATTGTACAGTTGTCACCAGAACAGGATCTGATGGGGGAATATTTGCAGTGGGGCACCTGATACGATGGTGGTTCCAGCTCATTAAGTAAGGTTCTTCATTTTGACAGGTTTTACGCAGGGGGCTCAGAGAGGAGTGGACAGCAGATTGTGGGACCCCCTAAGAAAAGGAGCCCCAACGAGCTGGTAGAAGATCTTTTCAAGGGAGCCAAGGAACATGGAGCCGTCGCTGTGGACAGAACTGCTAAGAGTCCTGGAGAAACCAGCCGATCGGTAAGGATGGGGGGCTCAGTGATTGCAAGGACTGAGGAAAACAAACACAATTCAAAGGTGGGCATTCTGTAAAACTGAAGTGAATGGCAGCAATAGAAAGTGGCTGTAAGTGGCCATTGCAGATCCATCCATCAGTGTCCCATTCCTAATTAGAAGCCATAAGGAACTGGTTTGCACACCTTAACCTTCAGTGTGCTGCTACTAACATAGCTTAAAATTTTACAAAATCAACAGCATTTAACTTACACCCTGAAACTGCTTGAGAAGAATTGCTGCTAAGAATACAGTATATTTCTTTTTCATTTCCATGTATGACCACACCATTTTCAAAGCTTGAAGTAGACATCTTCCTATGACTTCATTATATTTTATTGTTTTATTTCTCCTTAGCCATTTGCTGGAGGTGGGTATCGATTGGGGGCCGCCCCGGAAGAGCAGTCAGCTTATGTTTCTGGAGCCCGCAGACAGAATCAAGGCCAGGATGTAAGTCTGCTTTGACTTGGCTGCTGTTTTTCTCATGCACGGTCTTTCAGCGAATTCAGCGTTATGACTGTTAGCGATTATTTGTAACTAGAGATGCACTGATATATTGGCCGCCGAAACATAACGGCCGAAAATCGCACTTTTGGCATAATGCCGAAAGTGCAATTTTCTGGCCGATACAGCGGCGCACCCCTGCTTTCTCTCCTCCCCACTGGGCGCTGCGATCGGCTGGCGTCTATCCTCCCCGTCTCCATTTATTTTCAAACGCTCAGCGATCACTGACTGCTTGTACCCGCGGTCGCAGGTGGCAGATCAGAGGAGAGTGGTGTGGGGGCGGAGACAGCCCCGCTCGTTCAGCCTCCTGCGACAGCGTGGAGAGCGGGTTCAAGCAGTCAGTGATCGCTGAGTGTTTGTAAATAATTGAGGACAGAGTATGTTTACCGTGTCCTCAATTATGAATGAATGGGAAGTCATCTACATCATCTCCTGCTCTTTAATGATTCTGGTTATAGTAAACATGCTATGTCATGTTATGAATGATCAGGAACGCTCAGTATAGAGGAATCCTCTTCGTTGATAACAGGGGCTGCAGAAAAAGAGATTAGGAACTCTGTGTCCTCATTTTCCATTTTAAAAGTGAAATGTCAGGGGTCTGTTTAGACCTCTAATCTTTCCCCGAAGCCCCTGAGTAAAAGAATATAAAAATATTCAATAAAAATGAATAAATAAAATATATATTTTTTTAACTGTAACGGATAGCCCGTTCTGAAAATGGGAGTTGGCTACCAGGCATATGCTGCATCCATTGGCTAAATGGGCATTGAGAGAGGTTTTGGTGGTGCGTGAATGACTATGTCCTTTTACCTGGCATTCCTGTCAAGGCAAATCCCAGTCATGGTAAATAGGGATGCACCGATACCTATACTAGTATCGATATCGGTGCCGATTCCGAGTATTTGGGGAAGTACTCGTACACGCCCAAATGCTCCGATGCCTGGCACGAGTACTTCCGGTATCAGGAAGCCGGGCAGCAGGTCATTACACGCTGCCCGGTTTCGCGATTGACCCGGAAGATGGCCTTGTGAGGTAAGGTTACCTTACCTTTTAGTATGTGCAGCCTGTCATCCCCCCGGGGCCTCTCCAGCGACAATGCGGCCTTCGTCCGGTACCCAGCCCGAGCCGTCCAATCAGGAAGCCGGGCGCCGTCTAATGACGTGACGCCCTGCTTTCTAATTGGCCGGGAAGCTGGCTTTATGTTCCCTCACGCCTGGCTTCCTGATTGGCCGGCTAGACGGCTCCGGCTGGGTACCGGACGAAGGCCGCGTTCTCACTGGAGAGGCCCCGGGGGATGACAGGCTGCACATACTAAGGTAAGAGGGGACTTTCTTGTTGATCGGTAAGCCGGGTGGCGACTCTTTACACGCTGCTCGTCTTCCCGGCTAATCAGGAAGCCAGGTGGCGAGTCATTACACGCCACCTGGCTTCCTGAATGGGACTTCCGTTACTTGGTAATTGGTATCGGCGAGTACCGAAAAAAATTATCGGTACCAAAATACCGGTATCGGTGCATCCCTAATGGTAAAGATGTATTGTCTCTCCTCCACCTGGTATTTGGTGACATTTCATACACATCATCTTTAGTGGGATGAAGGGGTGAAAATCATTTACAGTTGGTGAAGGGGGCCATTGGAGGATTTGGCAATGCAGGCTTGAGCACACTTGCTGTTACACAGCCGTTGTGCTTTGTGTCCTTATCTCTGGTCGAAAGCTGCAATATCATCGGCTCAAAACACTTTTTATAATAGGGTGAGAAGTGTGAAGATGGGGTACTGCTCGTAGTAAAGCAGACTTGCTATGTTGCTTTGCCCTGAATTGGAACAGGTTTGCTTTCATTCATCTATCCCCTGCTGCATATACTTGTGTTTTATTAGTTCCACAGCAGCTCAGTTCCGAGCAGGGATCTGAAGGAAATACCTGAAAGTTTGGGCTATACAGAAGCATTTCACACATTTCATATGACAGTGCTAGGTCAATTGGTGTTAGCACAGGGCAGTCCATAGCTTTGTATGACAAGGATTTGCTTTCACGTCTGGTGGCTGAATAGAGCAGTAGTGGAGCAAAAGTAATGTTTGTATTTCCATCTGTGGAGGTCTGCGTAAAAGTTGCTTTGCTCTGCATAGGGTAAGTGCAAATTCACTTTAAGGGCAAGAGGTGCCAGGAGAAGGGGTTTGGGCCTAAAGCTTTTGTGATTAAGACCTGGACTTTGCTGAAGTGATTATACCTTGTAGCTGGCCTAGGTATGCTCTGAAATGTTTAAGGGGTTCATGTCTGGGCCGGCCTTCTCTCCTTGCGATTCCTTTAGCATCAAGATAACTAAATGTTCGTTTTTTTTTGGGAACTGCCTGAAGATTTTAGATTCAAGAGTCTGGAGTTGCCGTTCGGAAGACCTTCTATTTTATAATTACTTGCTAAACTTTTGTTCTGTAGGTCCACGTGGTGCTGAAGCTCTGGAAAAATGGATTCAGTTTAGATGAGGGTGAACTGCGCAGCTATCAAGACCCCAGCAACGCACAGTTCTTAGAGTCAATACGCAGAGGGTAAGATTTACCCTTACCATGAGAGTCCTTAACTTTGTTACCCAATTTCATGTAGTTGGGACATTTTGTGTAGGTTTGAGCTAGTAGGAAGACATATGATTCCAAATAATGTCTGTGCACTTAGAATTTAAAGCCCATCTCCAGGCAAAGCTGAACCCACCTCAAACCTTTTCATCAGCTTAAAGGAGAACTATGAGGTGAGGGATTTTTACTCAACCTCATAGTTGGAGCCGACGTGTGACAATGAAACTGTCACACGTCGGCTCAATAGATCGGGAAGTGAGCGAACACATACCGTCACTAGCTCACTTGTCAATCATCTCCCTGCAGAGAGCCGTGATTGTCACTCACGGCTCCCTGCAGCGATTTCCCCCCCCCCTCCCTTGTCCGATCCTCCAGCGCTGAGTGGAGGAATGGACGGGGCAGGGGGCGTGTACTATCTAGAGGCAGAGCCAGCTGTCAATCACGCAGCTGGGTGGATCTCGACAGTAATGTCGGGATCCGTCCCAGCTGCGGCGTCTCAGTATACCGCAAGCTGTAGCTCGCGGTATACTGAGCTTTGGGTCTCGGGAGGACGCTAGTTCATGTCCTCCCGTGACCCCGAGGCGAACTATGGGGAATAACACTTACCCCATACTTCTCCTTTTAGAACAAAAATTTCTGAAGCTTTTTTTTTCCTTGGCTAGCTCAGCCATCTTTGTCCCTCGCTGATGCCACTTCTCTGAGTTATAACCAGTGATTCAGTACTTCTGTCTGTGCCCACAATGATTACTTCTGTCTGTGCCCACAATGACCGGTCACCTCATCGTGATGCTATCACGTAATGCATTCTTCTGGACAGCCGTGTTTTGATTTGACATGGTTATCCTGAAAGGACTTTTGGTGGTGCTGGTGACATTTCTTCAAGTGATTCATCCAACTAGCTGAGCCATCCGCAGTCCCTGAGAGCACCCTCCTCCTGTCTTAGGAGTAATCCGGTAAGGAGTGCAACAAGACTTTCAATACAGCCTGCAGGAAGTGTCCTAGGCAGTAAACTGGACACTGGCACATCATGTGACCATGGCTTTAGGTACTTTTTAAGTAAGCAATTAGGTGATTGTTTTGGGGGGGAGGGTTTAATGCCCAGAGTTCAGCTTTAAAGTAACCAATCCTTAGCAAAATATAAACTGGCAATTGCTGACCACCTCCTGAAATTACTATTTGCTTGGTTTGTCTCTTAAGCAGAAATAAGCACATCAAGGGCCTAATTGTACACAAGCGTTTAATTACCCTTATCTTGGTAATGGCAGGTGAAGAACCAGTTGTATGCTAATGGAGTGGGAGGGCATACAATGGGTGTAACAGGATAGAGAGCTCAGAGTGACTGTCAGTATGTGGACAGTTACCATTAGGCGAAGTATCAGGTTGGATAGAACTGGCAGTGGCACAAAATCTTCTAAACTGCATGATCTGTAAAGTGTCAACTATAGATCAGTGCTGCTGGATAAATGACCTAAATATATACATAAATTTTAGCTGTAAAAGTGACCCTGTTGCTAAAAATACAAAACAAAACAAAAAAGAATTGAAGTACAAAACATCTGTAAAGTTTATACTTGGCTTTCCTGTCACCTCTTTGTGGAATCTTTGTTCTGCTGCTGAACTACACCGCACAAGCAATCTCTACCTAGACATGTTGGACGCCTGCACCTCCCACTGCACTCTGGTTCCTCTTCCTGCTCTTTCTGTTCCCCTTGGACTAACACAAGCATTTAACCCATGCAGTGCGGGAAGAGCCCCACTGCACGGGTAACAAGATTTTACCCCAAGCTTCGTCTATTGTGTACAGGGAGATCCCGGTGGAGCTGCGCAGACTCGCCCAAGGTGGCCAGGTAAACTTGGATATGGAGGACCACCGTGATGAAGACTTTATGAAAGCCAAAACTGCCTTTAAAGCATTCGCTGGCGAGGGCCAAAAATTGGGAAGGTGAGATCCTGGCACTGATCCCAGAACAGCTTCTGCAGACGGGACCTTTTACTTTATCCTTACATCGTTTTTGTTTTTTTTTTGTGTGTGTGTTTTCAGCACAGCCCCCAATGTCAGCATTGGCTCCACCTCCCAACAGGCAGAAAACGAGGCTAGAGCCAGTTCCTCCATCACCATTACTGATTCTGACCCCGTCACAAACATCCAGATCCGCCTGGCCGATGGAGGGAAGCTGGTCCAGAAGTTCAATCACAGTCACAGGTAAGACTTGTAGGTCAGCCAAATATTCTGTTTTTGTCAAACAAACGTCATCGCTGAGCATGTCGGGAACAGGGATTGGAAAACATTGACTAAGTGTCTGGCTACAATGTAACAATACAAATCAGAAATAATTAAAAGTTTGTGATGGAATTGCTTCTCCACTCCCTCCCCCCCCTATCATTATTAATAGTAATGCACAGATACCGATACTAGTATCGATATCGGTGCCTATACCGAGTATTAGGGCGAGTACGAGAAATGCTCCGATGCCTATCCCAATACTTCCTGTATCAGGAAGTCGGGCAGCACGTCGTTACACGCTGCCCGGTTTCCTGATTGGCCGGGAAGCAGCTCCATGCTCTCATCACTTGTGATAAGAGAGCATGGAGCCGACTTCCCGGCCAAACAGGAAGCCGGGCAGCGTGTAATGACGCAGCGCTCGGCATTCTGATTGGCCTGGAAACCGGCTTCATGCTCCCTCGTCATCTCACAAAAGAGCCTTGAGCCGGCCAATCGGAAAGCAGGGCACCGCGTCATTACACGGCGCCCGGCTTCCATGATTGGCCAGCAAGATGGCTCCGGCGGGGTACTGGAGGAAGGCTGCTCCTGGCTGGAGAGGCCCCAGAGGTGAGGGGCTGGACATGGCGAGGTGGGAGGGGACAGACTTTCTTGTTAATCGGGAAGCCGGGTGGCGAGTCACTGGTATCGCCGAGTACGGAAATAAAATTATCGGTACTCGTACTCTGTACCAAAATACCGGCATCGGTGCATCCCTAATTATTAAGATTTGTCCACTGATGTCCATCCTTGATAAATGAGTCCACGTATGTCTGTCTTTAAAGAGGAACATTACACACAGGGCCGGCCTTAGGGGTGTGCGAGCAATGCGGCCGCACAGGGCGCCATGGCAACAGGGGGCGCTGTGCGGCCGA